CCCTTTTTTTTTTGTTTTTAAGTAAACTCTACTCCCAAGGTGGGGCTCGAACTCAGGACCCCAGGATCAAGATCAAGAGTCACATGCTCTACTCACTGAGCCAGCCAGGTGCCTTATTTTAAGATATATTTTTATGGAGGATTTGAACAGATATTTAAATGGATTTCATGATATCAGGTTAACATACTAGAAACACAGAGGTCAAAATCTGGAATTGCATTAGAGACATTAAACAGGAATTCGAATCAGGTTATGGGCTCATAGTGATAACACAAAAGTTAGGAGAGGCGGACGTGTCGGGGGAGTTAACAAGGACCTAACCTCAACAGCAACACAGAGGAAAATGTTGGCTAGCGCTGGTGGCACAGTAATACAAAAGAATTTAAGAAGTGCCATGCTGATAATTCATGGTTCACTCAGCTCAGTGTTCTACTGACAAAGTGAACCTAGAAAATAGACAATAATAACCTTTATAATATGGTAGGTGTTTTATGTAATTATCTCATATAATCCTTACTACAATCCTATGAAATAGCTAATAGTGTTATGATTTCTGGTCTATAGATGAGGAATCGAAACTTTGAGAGGTAAGACTTGCCTATCTCATATCTTGTAAGTGTCATAGCAGGGATTCTAACCAAGATAGACTGTAATAGTGCTTGCTGATGTCAGCACTGAAAACTAGGTACGTAATAGCTTCTTTTAAGTAATAGTGATCGTTGATACATCATTGATAATCTCTTTTGAGTTAACAAATATTAACTCTGGGATTAGTGAGTTTGTTAAGACTGGTTGAAGCAATGCAAGGGGTTTATCTGCAAGGGTAGAAGCAAAGACAGACAGGCATAGGAGGATCAGGGATGTTGTAAATAATGTGCTATAGATTATGATAAAATAAGTTAATGTATAGTCCGCTGAAGGTCCCATACCAGACCAGCGATTTTGGAAGGGACTGAAGATCAAGTTACTAGAGAGAGGAGAGCCAAGTGAGTTTCTCTAATCATTTTAGGTGTACTTCTCAGAGTTTTCTCTAATTCAGGAGTTGTGCTGAGATTGGAGTGAGCAGAACTGCACATTTCATTCTGGTGGCAGCTGTGAAATAGTTCAGCATGGGGTATATTAATAGCTTTTGCAGGGGCTCCTGGCTGGCTTAGTCAGTAGAGCACGTGACTCTTGATCTTGGGGCTGTAAGTTCGAGCCCGACATTAGGTATAGAGATTACCTAAAAATAAAATCTTTAAAAAAAAATACCCTTGTTGATTTAAAAAATAGTTTTTTTAGGGTTTCTGATATATATCTTGATGATACTCACCATTTCTTATTTTTCCCCCTGAATTTTTTTTTTTAAGATTTTATTTATTTATTTGACACAGAGAGAGAGACAGCTAGAGAGGGAACACAAGCAGGGGGAGCAAGAGAGGGAGAAGCAGGCTCCTGGCTGAGCAGGGAGCCCGATGCGGGGCTTGATCCCAGGACCCTGGGATCATGACCTGAGCCAAAGGCAGACACCCAACACACTGAGCCACCCAGGCGCCCCCCCTCCACCCACCTGAATTTATTTATTTATTTTCAGTAAGCTCTATGCCCAACACGGGCTTGAACTCATGACCCTGAGATCAAGAGTAGCATGCTCTATGGACTGAACCAGACAGCCAGCCACCACCACCCCCCCTCCCCGGCCCTGGATTTAGCATTTAATTGAGCTGATGTTTTTCAGGGAACAAACTGCAGACTCCCATGGCTCTTTCCTGGATTCTAACCAGGACAGAAAAAAAAAAAGTTCATACTATAGTTTGATCTATTTAATCCCCTGGTTCGTTGACTTGCTCTAGAGCCTGAGATAAAACGTATCTCACTTTTGATTTATTTACAGACTGGTAAGAACATCCTGTAGTCTATTCCAATAATCTTGCTCTCGTAATAGAAGAATTTGGAGTTTTGGACTGTGCTTTTCCTCCTTTATATTATTTAGAGATGTTGGGTATCTAACTGTTTGCTTGGGATAGTGATTATAAACTGGCCTGGAATTTCAAAAGTCCCCTTTGGAGTTCTTTTGAATACAAATAACCTTTGTCATTTGCCAGCACTTTATTTAATAGAGGGTGCATGTTTTGTTCAAAACCCCTTGTTTTCCTTCTGTAATCTTTGATATATGTCATCTAGTCTTGGTGATTTATCAACATTCGTTTTCTAAGTCTAGCTTGAATAATGCTGAGTATTGACTGTAATTTAACCAATTACCGACATATCCAGATCAGAAATAACACTGAAGTGGTAATCACTGTAAAATATTCTCTAGTGTAGACTGATGCAAAAAAATTCATGCAATATGTCAAATCTCTTTTTGTGCACAATTATCAATAAATTAACTGATTTTTCCCTTGACTTCCTCTATTTGTATATTTCTTATTATTTAGTTTTCTTTTATGAGAGTGGCAACGGTATAATAAAGAGATTAACATTTATTGAGTACCTAATGCTATACAATTCCTTGCAGAGAATAGTTTCTTGGCACAAAGTAATAGCTCATATGTGATCTTATTTATTCTTAGAACAATCCTATGTGAACTATACACTATTTTTCCTCATCTATAAAATGGAAGAATAATAGTACTTATTTTACAGAGTTGTTATGAGGATTGAATGACTTAGTATATGCAAAGCAATTACAACAGTTCCTGGTAAACAGTAAACACTATTTCATTTCATTTTATTTTTTTGGTAAGCACTATTTTAAATATTCTTCTTGTTATTTTCTAGTGTTACTTATGAGGAAACTGACGTACAGAGATTTTAAGACACTTTTCTGAGTATTACAGTCAGGTGGTTGGAACAAATTTCTAAATTTCATACTCTTCTGAACTTTTTACCTCCTGTTAAATTAACGAAACATGGGGGCCATTAGACTGAGGTGGCTCTATTGCTAAGGCAACTTACTTAAGCATACCAAAACCTAAGCCTATAAATATCTCAAGGTTATGAAATCAAAGTGCTAAGGACAACCAATCACAAACAGCCAACTAGCTTTAAGTTATAGCCAATCTGATAATTTCCTTTCTTTGGTTCCCCATTTTTTCTACATGCCTTTCCCTTGGTTCCTGTTGGCAGAGCACTCCTGGCCACTTCTAGTTTGGCATTGCCTAATTTAAATTGATAAATGCTCAGAACAGTTCTTAAATTTTTAAAATATGCCTCAGTTTATCTTTTAATACTCCTATGACCTTGGTGTTCTTGTGAAAGCTCTAGAATGTGTTATTTTGTCTGATTTTCACGTATACCTAACCTACTGTGCAGGCTTCCTGTTTTTTGTACTTAGATTATCTTCTAATTCTTTGAAAGATTACTTTACTCTTAAATTTGGTTGTACATGGCCTTTTTCACTTGACAGGTATCCTGAGGGCATATTTTTCCTGGAGTCTAATACATTGTTTTAAATAACGCCAAAATTCTTATTGGCTAATTATTATTAAAATAGTTCCTTTCCTAATCTTTTCTCTAACTAATGAATTTAGTTTCTCCTCTCCCCTTCTTGATTCTGGAAGTTCTTAATTAATACTTTGAGAATTTTATTCGATCTCAATGCTTTGAGATTTTATTTTATTTAATTAATTTTATTTAATAGCAATACTTTGAGATTTGATTTGTGATATAAAGATGAGATATAAGGTACAGCATTTCTTTCTGACACCAGTGGGCTTAAATACTTTGATTTCACTAGCTAATTCATTGTAGAGTCTGATTCTCAGTTCTGTTTCTTCTGTGGGTCATGCATATGGTAAATGTAATTTCTTGCAACATAATCATTTTAATTAACCTGTAGGGATGGCCACAATTTTTTTCCTGCATTCTTCCCCAAAGTAGAGCCAATGGCAGATTAACTTTTGTGATTTCTCTAAGAAAATGAGATTGTTAGCAGATTGCTCAAATTGAAATGGACGTAAAAGAGATGCATTTGATATTCAAATTGATGATGATTGAACATGCCCAAATATTCTGATTTTTTTTTTCTTTTTTGGGGGGGTCGCTTTACTATCAGTGAAAAAGTTTTGAGTATTCTGAATGGGGGTAGAAGGGTTTAACAGTGGCCTGAATGGTTGGGTTCAGGTTCTAAAAATGACCTCCTAAAGTAGAAGATTGCTTAGCTTATTATCCCCAGTGTTAAACCTACAGAGTTCCACCTAAAACCAAAATCTTTATTTCGAAAATAAACTTTAAGGTTGCGTAATGATCAAAGAGTTTTCCATCAGCCATACCGACATGATGAGAAGAAACCTGAGATATTTTGGAGATCTTGGCACAACTTCAAAGAGTGATAGAACAGAATGCAGAGAACTTTTCCAAGTTTTGGAAGGCAGCAGTTTGGCTGAGACCCACACATACTGAAACGAGAGGCTTCCTTGAAAACATTTAAAAAGGGTTTTCCTATTTTGGAATTCTAAATTATGGCAAAATTCATATATGCTTAAAACTCAATTCTGCACCAGTTTCCCTCCCCAAATAACCCTCCACCGTTTCTCTCCGTGTCAACACTGGTAAACAATTCCTGAGGCATTTGCGGTAAGCGTTTTAATAAGGTGGCTGATAGTCCTTCTAAAACCCGTTTCAATATATTCTGAAACGAATCCCTTTCACCCCTATCTAATATATTTGCCTTTGTTTTGCAGAGCGAGAGAGGTGAAGCAATTTACAGATCTGGGGACAGACCGCTAAATGACCTGTAGTTAGGCTGGTGTCGCTTCGCAAGATTTTGGTACCCAAAGCAGCGGAACCGAGACTTAGCATCCTTCCTCTGATCACACATTTCTTAAAGCGACCGTTCTGCACGTTGGAACACCGTCTCTTCTCTACCCAACACCTCCTCCCAGCCCGCCCCCTGGTTCCTTCCCACCCTCTACCTCGCCCCCCCTCCGCCCCCCAGTCTGCGCATGCGTCCTAAGAAACCCCTACACTCGCGGCACAAGCTGAGAGTATTGTCGGGGGCTATTCTCTCTCCCAGGAACATGGCGGCGAGTCAGGGAGGTGGTGTTAACAGTGGGGGCGGCGGTTGTGGTGGAGGTGGAAGTAGCGGTGGCGGTAGCACAGCCGGAGGGGGAGGTGGCGGAGCCGGAGGGGGAGGCGGCGGCGGCGGCGGGACCCTGGTGGTGCCCATCCCGGTACCGACTCTTTTCGGTCAGCCGTTCCCCAACGGGCCGCAGTGGAACCCGGGGAGCCTGCAGCCTCAGCACACGGTGAGGAGCCTGGACCGGGCCCTGGAGGAGGCGGGCAACTCCGGCATCCTGAGCCTCAGTGGCAGGAAACTCCGAGACTTCCCCGGCAGCGGCTACGACCTGACGGACACCACCCAAGCAGGTGACAGGACGGGGTGGGGGGGGAGGGGAAGCTGGGCTCCGAAGGAGGAGGTGGGGGGTGTGGGTGGCTGCGTGGCTGCGTTGTTGGACTGCTGGTCTGGGCGGGTTCGCGGGGGCGGCGAGACTGACAAAGTCGGAACAGCCTTTTCTCGTGAATGTGAGGGGGAGAGAAGGGAATGGTGGTGGTGGTGCGGGGGCGGGGGGGTTGTTGACTGAAAGATGTATGGAAACCGGGCGGGATGTGAGGGGTGAAAGAGCAGTATTGTTAAAGCGAGTTTCCCCAGTAAGGAGTAGGGAGGGAGGTACTGACACCTTCCTTAATGCACTTCTTCCAACTCTCGTGGATGTTCTCATCTTTCTCGGGGGGAGGGGGCGGGGGGGAGGACAATACGTAAAATCACAATCTACACATATTCTTTAAAGGCATACGTGCCTGGAAGAAAGGCATATTCCTTTTCGTCGTGCAGCCGCAGCCTTGCCACGGTTTTTATGTGTTATTTTGTGTGTGTGTTTTAATCCTCCCAGAATATTCTTGCCTTCTGGTCACGTATGCTTTTAAAGACAGATTTTTCATTTTCCTGGTGTTGAGAAGGTAGTGGTGGTTAAATTAGTATTTGTTGCTGTGGCAAATGAAATCAATCAATCACTAACATGTCTGGTATACTAGGGGAAAGGATCCTTGTTTTGAGTTATGTTAGAGTCTTAATTTTTATAGCAGAAATAGCCAAAAAATTTGAAGGCATTTTTAAGAAACAGAATTTATTCTTTAGGGAGTTGTGGGCTAATGGCTTATCATTTTGGTTGAGAAATTGGCTATTGTAGCGTTCTTCCTACAATCTCTGGTACTCTTTGTTGTGGTTGGCATTTTTTGTTACGAACATACTCTTTCCCCTCTGCCTTATAAACCAATGCTGATTATTTTAAATACGTTTTCGTTTGATGAACGGGTTTTTTGCTTTTCATGATCTTTGCATTTGTTATCTTTTATATTTGCTTTGCTGAAAGAAATCATGGACAAAATTATTTTGATAGGTGTAGTAATTTTGGAACAGTACAGTAAGTAGAATGACCTATAATGAGAAGTAATAAAAGGCCTCTTATTTTCAGAATAACACTATTTCAGTGTATTCAGTTTCTGGATATTAAATTTAGGTATGTGCTGGGAGGAGGGTGGGGAGAGGAGGAAAGCCTAAAAATTGAAGCCTTCCACCCAATTATTCTCTGAGGAATTATCCTAAGAACTATGAATGCGTAATCGATCACTGATGTTGTATTTTGGAAAGCATGTTTGAGTATTTACTCCTTCACTCTGAACAGATTTCCTAAACAATATGTTCACATATTTATGAATATATTGGCAAAATATTATAGGACTTGGTATGTTCTTCAAAGGCTCCAGGAAAAATGGTTTCATACTGCATCATTATGGGGATATGTTGTTTTGCTTATTGTGCTTTATAACCTGTAAATGATATATCTGTAAGATTAAGTTTGAGCATCCTGGCCTGGCATTCAGAGCTTTCACTGTACGACTCCAGTTTGTTTTTGCAACCTTAGCACCCCAAACACTCCTACATAGAACCCTCTGTTCCAACTAGGTTAACTCCCTGTTCCTCAAATATATATATAATGAATTTCTGCCTCATCTTTGTAGAAGGTCACCCACATGCTTGGGATTTTTCTCTTTACTCCATCTATTTAATTTTGTTCAAGCCCCAGCTTTTCCAGGAAGCTGTCTCTAACTCCCTTAGTCCATAGCAGTCTCCTGTTTTTTGAGCTCTTAACGGTACTTTACTACCTTTACCACTTACTTGCTAGGGCTGGCTTTATTTTCTTTTTTATGTTTGTGTCATGCTGTCCCTGAGAAGCTGGAGAGCTCCTTAAGGGTAGGGAATAAGTCATATAGTTGTTCAGTCTTCTCATTATATATTGCTTATATTGTACTTGATAATATTTTTCATAAACTTGAATATTATCTTATGTGGTTATAACCTTTGGCTTTTAAACCTCCGGGTTTTTTTTTTTTTTCCTGAGGCAAGCTTTAACACAAAGCAGAGCCATATTTGTTCTTGTTAAGCATTCATTGGTCATAAACTTTATCAGTGTCTACAGTAACACAGGATTTTTGAGATGATTCCACCTCATTTTACTTTTTTTTTTTTCAGTTGAATGTGTGTTTCCTTGTGGAAACAGTTCAAAATTTAAATGACATATTTGTGAGTGATTCATTTGCCATTCATTTTTGACAAAATTCAGTTGTGAACAATTTAGGGGCAATATTTTTGTATGTAAAGAGACTAGTATTCATTATGTATAAATGAAGGTGGGTACACTGGAACTGAAGAAAAATAGAGCATGTTTGAGAAAATACATACATACATACACGTACACATGCACACATATACATCTGTAAACATACGTTATCCTCTGATGAAACCAGTTCTGTTTGTTGGTATTGTTATACTTAAAATGACTCTCAGTGGGATAATGTTTCAGAACCAAACTGATGAGTTAGGCAAGCATATAATGGTTTATTCGGTTGGGAAGAGACTGATGGAAGGGAAATTAGGTAGGAAGGTATTCTGTTAATCTAGGTGTGAGGTGGTGAGAATCTGGGGTAAAACTAAATTGGATAAGAAGGGAAAATTGATAGATTTGAAAGGAAGCAGGGAGGGCTTTTTGCATTATTTTGCTGTTCCTCACATATACATAAGACAAAACAGACCTGCGGTTCTTCACCTGGGCTGCACGTTAAAATCTCAAGGGAGTGTTTTTTAAAAACCTATGCCTGGGCCCTACCCCAGACCAATTAAATCAGAATCTCAGGGGCCAAGAGAATCTTTTTTTTTTTTTAAAGTCTTCCCAGGTGATTCTAATGTGCAGGCAGGGCTGAGAAACTCTAAAATAGTTCATTTTTTAGGTACTCAAGAAGTACTGTTTAGGTGAATGCGAACATTGATAAAAATTTAGTGACTAAAGTCACTTGTCAAGAGGGTCAAAACCAAAACTAGGAACTATGTATTCAAGATCTAGTTCAATATTTTTTTTAAAAGACTTGGTGAAGCAGAGACTTTTTTTTTTCATTATATCATGTCTGTAGTGAATAGAAAATTGCTGGGAAGCTATAGTTTCTTCAGTTACCATGCATAACCCTGGTTTACATTTAATACTGTTGGATAACTTGGCATTAAGAAAATAGTGCTCCCAAAACATGTAGCAGCAAAATCTTGTTTTCTCTATTAATAGTCTTGCTCTGAGGGAAGATGGATGGTTGGTAGCTATTGGTGAAGTTTGTCTTTGGTGTCTTTTTACCTTTTTTTGCATTTCTAGTGTGTGATCTTCACCTGCCTGTGCCCTCCTGCTCTCCTCATTTCTTTTCCCCTCTTCAGCTCACTCCCCTTCTTTTGCTGGAATGTAGCTTGAAGCTAATTATGGCAGCCTTTTCAGGAGATTAATATTTAAAAGGGAGAGTTTGCTAATTTATTTGAATCTTCAATTGGTGGTTTGTGCTCATGACCTTTTTGAATATATCTGCCTTCCAGATTCTTCTTGATTAAAATCCTCTATATAGGGACATAAGAACAGGGATGAGAAAGTTCGTGATCCATTTCAGGAAAGTAGCTGACTCTTGTTGTAATGTCTTGTCTTAGATGGTCTATAGGTAGACTTGGCAGGGCAAAGGGAAATTGCCTAGAACATTTTAGTCTGTCTGGATACTGTGATAATTTGTTGACCTAAGAGAGCTTGAAAATGATTCTAATAGCCACTCAAACAAATCCTGAAACTTTCATATTTGACTTTGTCACCAACGCTACAAATAAGTCTCAGCCTACTTGCAGCTGCTCCCTCTGCTTCTTCATACCTCTTTATGTCTATAAACAATAGGTCTGTGAAACAGATTTAGGAGTTCTTATATGCATCAGATGGTGCTGTGTCCTGGTTAATCACATGTTTTCCTGTAAACCTGGAGTCAACTCTAGTATTTCCTACATGTGCTGGTTCACCCCTTCAACTGTGGGGCATGGTGCATTTTATCAGGTTGTAAAATGGAGCCAGATAAACTTTGCAGCATCTGATTATGTTGTGAGGTGAAGGCCCTCTTAGTACATTCAATGGAATGAACTTGTGATTGTGATTTTCTGGACTGATTCAAATATCTACCTTGCTTTGTGTAATAAATGTCTCCCTAAAAAGTTGAATGTGAAGCACATTTTTGACAGTTGACTCATATTTTAATTGCTCTAGATTGAATTTGAGTTGCTGGACCTCACAGTGATTTATTTTATTCAGTGATGAATTCTTCTACAGTATAAATCGTTGCCCCTTAATTTCTTTCTTTTGTAAGTTCACATTTTAAAATAAAATGTTATCTTAAATTGGAGGGTATGTTCATCATTAAAATATTACCATTTATATAGCTCTTTATAAATCTCTAAGCACTTTCATGTATATTATGCCATTGTATCCTAATAATAACCCTGTGAGTTTGGCACAGTACATAGTAATTACTCATTGTTGTGAGAGGTTAAGTGATTTGCCCAAAGTTAAATGGCTAGTGTATGGCAGAGTGGGGGTCAGAGCCTAGGTTTTTTGACTCTAGCACTCACTATTCCAGTGTTATTTCCATTGTAATGCAGTCTGTCTATATAATAAAGGTATTTTTTTAACTACACACTATGCTAATAAATAGATTATGTATTCTGAAAAATAAATGCTTATTTAACTTAATATGTTATATAATTTTTGCTTTGTGTGCAGTGTGTTTTGTGTTGTGTATGGCAGTTGCATAGCTAGTCTTCATGCCTCTCTTTCTGATGGTTTTAGAATAGATTCATTAAGCGTTTATTGAACTCCAACTTTGGAAACATGATTATAGCCAATAGAAAAGAAAGGGACTTGGTTATTGTCCTTGAAGAGTCTATTAAATAGCTGAATATGTACAGGAATATGTGTAACAATTAGAAAAGAGTTATAGGGGTGCCTGGCTGGCTCAATTGGAAA